GTCAAGTTCGAGTAGATAATAAGCATACATGTGACTATCTTGTAGATGCATTTCTTAAAATCATAAAATATTTCAATGGTCCATATGGTGGATGAATTGATCCACATTTATCACTTTGAATACATTCTAAAAATACTGGAGCTTCAATCTCGGCTTTGCTTGGTGATGACTTAATCAACAATTTACCTTGACAACAAGCGAGAACATGAAAATTCATTAAATTGAATAATCTTCTAGCTCTTCAATAAATGTCCATATGAATTTTTTATAATTTTTTTGCATCATGAAAGACCTAGGGTAACACAACTTGCTCATGCCACATAATAAAAGTATTTGAATTAGTAAACTTCTAATTTACTATCGCATTTGTTTCAATCATTCTAATATTTGTAATAAAGACTAAAGGAGAACGCGGATAAATTTTTCAATTTATATTTTCTATCCGGTATAATAGTTATAATATATAAGTATTCACATTTGCTATCTTGATATGATATCGGTTTAGATGAATATCTTTGAAACTCAATAAATTTCTATGAGACTTTGAAGATAATAGTACATCATTTATAATAACATTTATCCTTTCGGATAATAACATATTTGCTCTTCTAGAGCGTTTAAATTATGTCATTTTAAGTAATAATATATCGACTCTTCTAGAACATTTAAAAGTTATTTCTTCAAGTAATAATATATTCACTCTTCTAAAGTTTCAAAAATTGATCTCTTCAAATCATGATATAATCGTTCTTCGAAGCTTTTTGTTAAATTGATATTATCGGATGTAATATTAACACAAAATAAATAATTAAATAAATAAATAAATTTTCATTACCATAAATAAATAAATAGTATAATAAATTTATCATTATCTCTATGCAATAAAAATTATAAGAAAATATAAAATATCTTATTTATAAATATAAAAGCTAACAAGTTATTGATTTCAATTACCTCTATTTTGATATATAAAATTGGCCTCTATATTTTACTCTCTTTTTTTCAATGAGATTTGACAAGGCTTAATGAGATGCTTTGGTGTATGGTAAGTACACGATCAATATCCATTCATACAATATCTATAACATTCATTTTTAGAGTACTAACTTTATCTATTTTTATTCCTTTCTCTCTCTTTTTTTCATAGTTATCCATTTCGATGGTGAGATGTAATATTATGATCATCACGATTATAATGATAATTATTCCGACTACGTCCATGACTATAATCACATATTTGTCCATATCTAAAATTATTATAAATTATCACGTTCATTTCATGGAATGGAATGGATCCAATTGGACGAGATTTATTCTTTTTCATCAATAGCTTGTCATTTTATTTAGCCACAAGCAAATATGAAATCGATTCAGAATATTTTTTAAACTCATTTTCTCGATATGCTATTGCGAAGCATATTCGAGATATGAAAAGTAGAGAATATTTACTCAGCATAAAACACTCATGATCAATAATTCTTGCTCAAAATGTCAAAGGTCACAAAATAAAGTTTTGTGAGGTTTGATATCATAAAAATTCTATAATGCAAAGTCTAATAATAATATTAAGCAATAAAAATAAAATACAATGATGAAATTTAAATAAATAAATAAAACATAAAATTTAAACATTTTAAACAATATATATTAGATTATTGGATTCTATATATTAAATCCTTTAAGTTTTAAAGATGTATATTCTATGTATCATTAGATTTAAATTGCATGATAAATTAAATACATACTTCTTAATGATCTAAATAATTTAGATCTTTTGATAGAGCACTTGTATAGAAAAAAATTCAAAATAATTAAGTCTTTTGATAGATACATACCTCATGATCTATTATCTCTAGAAAAAGTTGATATATTTGGTATAATATCGTTTGAGAATGAATATCTTTTGTGTATAACTAATTTAATTTTGTTTTCATATGTCTTGCTACATGTGCATCTATATATAAATATCTGAACCCTAGAAAACTATTTTATACAATATACTCTTTTCTTTTTGTTTTTCCTCTAGCTTTAGTTAGGTTCAAAATTGTGAGAAATTCGGTGAGCATTATCATCATCATCTTAAGCATACTTATCCGATTTGTAGGTTTTTTTTTTTTTTTCGTTTTCCAAATTCTTGTTAAAATTATATACAAGAACTACTAATTCAAAATAGCCAAGTTGACATGGAAAAAGAAAGAAATAAAAATGTTAGGATCTATTTAATCTCTATTTCCTTTTGTAAGATGATTCATTAGAAAATCAAAAGCGTACATTAAAGGTGAGTTTAATAGAGCATAGCTTGATTTGGGGTGTTATTTACCAATAAAAGCACAAAAGGATTTTAAAATGAAAATTTTGATCCTTCAAAACAACAAATGTATAAGTGTTATTTTAATTAAACGTATATGTACTGATATCTCTATTATGTACTTTTTAAGCTGGACGAAAAGTGCCTAATTTGTAGGTAAATTAGACAGTTAGAAAAAATGATAAGAGAAACCATTGCATTGCAAGGAAAGAAAACAAGAATGGTAAATCCGTGGTAATTAATATTATTTTTTGGAAAAGGTCGATATATTTGGTATAATATCGTCTGAGAATGAATATTTTTTATGCTATAACTAATTTAATTTTGTTTTCATATATCATGCTACATGTGTATCTATATATAAATACTCGAACCCTAGAAAACTATTTTATACAATATATATACTCTTTTCCTTTTTTTTTTTTTCTTTAGCTCTAGTGAGGTTCAAAATTGTGAGAAATTTGGTGAGCATTATTATCATCATCTTAAGTATACTTATCCGATTTGTAGGTTTAATTTTTTTTCCTGTTTTCCTAATTCTTGTTAAAATTATATATGAGAATTATTAATTCAAAATAGCCAAGTTGACATAGAAAAAGAAAGAAATAAAAATGTTAGGATTTATTTAATCTCTATTTCCTTTTGTAAGATGATTCATTACAAAATCAAAAGCCTACATTGAAGGTAAGTTTAATAGAGATTAGCTTGATTTGGGGCTTTATTTACCAATAAAATCACAAAAGGATTTTAATATGAAAATTTTGATCCTTCAAAACAACAAATGTATAAGTGTTATTTTAATTAAATGTATATGTACTGATATCTCTAACATATATTTTTTAAGCTGGAAGAAAAATGCCTAATTTGTAGGTAAATTAGACAGTTAGAAAAAACGATAAGACAAAACATTGCATTGCAAGTAAAGAAAACAAGAATTGTAAAGCCGAGGTGATTAATATTATTTTTTGGAAAAGCTCGATATATTTGGTATAATATCGTTTGAGAATGAATATTTTTTAGGGATAATTACCAAAAAAACCCTCTAAAAAAATCTTATATCCAATAAACCCATCAATTTATTTTTAAATCTCTCAAATCCAAAATAATATTTTTTTTACCAAAACACCCAATAGTTAACTAGTGTTAAGTTAGAAGTTAACTATTGAGTCTTTTAGTAAGAATTTAAATAATTGATATTAATGAAATAAGACTCTTGTTATTCTCTTGTAATTTAATCAAAATGTTATCATACAAATAGGAAAAATAAAATATGTATGATTATAAACATTAATGATTTCTTAAATCCTAATATATTAATAGGAAGAAAAAAAGCATCATCGGTAATACTAATTTGTAATTAATCAAAACTCAAAATTTTTTATGAAAAAATTAAATTAAATTACAAGATGAATGTATAACATATTTTAGTGCATTAATTAAATAAAACATGATCATCCATGATGGAAATTCATAGCTTGAAAGATAATGGCTTCATTTAAACTAGGGATAATTATCAAAATACCTTCAAAAAAATCTTCAATTTAAAAATTCACTATTTTATTTTTAAATCTCCCAAGCACAAAATAATATTTTTAAATCTCATAAGCCCAAAATAATATTCTTCTTACCAAAACAACCAATAGTTAACACTAGTGTTAACTATTGGTTGTTTTGGTAAGAAAAATATTATTTTGGGTTTGAGAGTTAAAAATAAATTTATGAATTTTTTAGATAGAAGATTTTTTTATAAGGTTTTTCTAGTAATTATCCGTATTTTTTATGCTATAACTAATTTAATTTTGTTTTCATATATCATGCTACATGTGTATCTATATATAAATATTCGAACCCTAGAAAACTATTTTATACAATATACTCTTTTCCTTTTCTTTTCTTTTTTTTCCTATAGCTTTAGTGAGGTTCAAAATTGTGAGAAATTTGGTGAGCATCATCATCATCATCTTAAGTATGCTTATCCGATTTTTAGGTTTAATTTTTTTTTCCTGTTTTCCAAATACTTGTTAAAATTATATACGAGAATTATTAATTCAAAATAGCCAAGTTGACATGGAAAAAGAAAGAAATAAAAATGTTAGGATTTATTTAATCTCTATTTCCTTTTGTAAGATGATTCATTAGAAAATCAAAAGCCTACATTAAAGGTAAGTTTAAGAGAGCATAGCTTGATTTGGGGTGTTATTTACCAATCAAAGCACAAAAAGATTTTAAAATGAAAATTTGGATCCTTCAAAACAGCAAATGTATAAGTGTTATTTTAATTAAAAGTATATGTACTGATATCTCTAATATATACTTTTTAAGCAGGAAGAAAAGTGCCTAATTTGTAGGTAAATTAGACAGTTGGAAAAAACGATAAGACAAAACATTGCATTGCAAGGAAAGAAAACAAGAATTGTAAATCCGAGGTAATTAATATTATTTTTTTGGAAATGGTCGATATCTTTGGTATAATATCGTCTTAGAATGAATATTTTTGATTCTATAACTAATTTAATTTTTTTTCATATATCATGCGATATGTCTATGTATATATAAATATCTGAACCCTAGAAAGTTATTTTATACAATATACTCTTTTCCTTTCTTTCTTTTTTTTTTTTCTCCTCCATCTTTTCTTAGAGATTGCCCTTTTTTTTTTTTTTTTTTTTCCCTAAGCTAATTATAATACAAAATGAATTCAATTATCCCCACAATAGCAGTACTGTTGAGTCTAATATTTCAACAATTCTATATTACTGAAGCAAGTCAACCAATCACCTACGTTGTTGGAGATGACTTGGGCTGGACGCTGGAGGCTAACCCAGAATCTTGGACTCGAGGGAAGAAATTTTATGCTGGAGACATACTAGGTATATTTATATATATGTTCTTCATGATTAATCTTAAACAAACCATTCATATTCCATGTTTACATAAAAAATCAATTTATTCATGCAATATATATATGTTTCTTATTTATTTTTGCAGAATTCCAGTATGATGATCAAGCGAGCAACGTAGTCGTGGTGGACCAAGAAGGACATGATACTTGCACAACATCAGACAAGTCAGTGGAGTATAATTCGGGAGATGATAAAATCCCACTTAATTTTGGAGCAAATTATTTCATATGCAGTTGGCAAGCTGACAAATGTCAAGGAGGAATGAAGCTGGCCATTAATGCCACCGCACGACCACCTGTACTTGCAGTGCATTAATCTATGGAGCATCCATGGAAATAAAAATCATTATTAATTTCGATATGATTATCGTTATCAAATTGACAATAAATGGATTGCTAAACTCCTCTGTCTTCCGTATTAATTATTACATATTAAATTTTCTCTTGAGTATCCTTCACGGAACTTATGATTGGAAGCCCATTAATTTTCATTGACCAGCTTGCTTATATTGTTGGGCTTGGTTACTTCTGCGTAATTACCCTTCTATAGATACTTAGGCTTCAAAGTACAGTGACCCTTTCCTTTTGTCTTATGGCATATTGGCTTGAGCATTAGAATATTAATTGAGTTTCGCAACAATAAAAGTAATTTTGTTTTACCTAATCTAGAATCCTTGACATGTGGTCTCAAAGAACATTGTTCTTTCCTTTGACAGAATTCTTCTGAGACAGAAATTTTTTGAACGTAAAAGTGGTAGTCCTCAGAAAAAGGTCACTTGAATATGGAAGTTGAAGGAGTCTAAATCTGACCGCTTATTCTGCTGAGATACCCTCCAACTTCTTACAATTAAATAAAATGCATTACGTTAGACAATTCCATTCAATTTATATGATATGCTTTAAAAATAAAGACTATAGTTAATAAATTAAGTATTTCTCAAAAAAAAAAAAAAAAAAAACAAAGTAACTAAATAATTAGAAAGACAGCAGTTCTCGGCATTCATTGTTTCTTTCTTCAATCAATATATCCCTCCAGAAATTATTGATGTATGACTGGACTGGATGTATAATGCACATAGAGTACCGTTCCTTTTCTCTGAAATTTATTAATTTAACCTTTATTATTTAACACTTGTATAATTAATATCACTTTCACTGGTCAAGATTAAAATCGATGTGTGTGTCTATATATATATATATATATATATATTTCAATCTTGAATTTTAATCAAATTATTAATACACTAAAACACATGGGGTTTTGAACAGTGGCAACATTATTCACCCCCTCACAATCTATTATTCACTCTTAGTTTTTTATTTTATAATTTTTAAATTATTTTATTTTGGTTCCTTAAATTTTAAAATAAAAATTTTAATCCATAACTTATGCACTATATGCCTTTTTTTTCTTTAGTTTTTTTTTTCCTTTGCTTTTTTTTTTTTAATTTATGTTTTTTTTTATTTAATTGGATGTTACTCTCACAATGCACTATTCACTCTCTTTTTTTTAATTTTAAAATTATGTTTTTTTGGTCCCAAAAATTTTAAAATAAAAATTTTAATCCCTAGCTAATGCACTACATACTTTTTTTCTTTTGTTTTTTCCGTTACCTTTTTTTTTCCATCAATTTATGTTCTTTTTTTATTTAATTAGGTGTTAAAATTTTTAAAAATTAATTTTTACTGTTTTTCCACAAAACTGAAAATTATGTAATATTATTGTTTGAAATTGATATTTTTAATTTATTATAAAAATTCTCATGAAGTTAATTTTTATTCTTATTTTTTATATAATTTTAATTATTAATAAATATAATTTATTTTCTCTATGTGTGAATTCGAATAATTTTTTATACCAGTTTTTATTCGCTTAATTCTTATATAATCAAAATTTTAAAATAGAGTATTCTATTTTCTTATTCTTTATATAATCAAATTTTATAGAAATCAATTTTATAGTTTTTATTGCACTCTATTAACTTTAATATATATATATATATATATATATATATATATATATATATATATATATATATATATAATTTAATTTATAATTTTTTTTATTTATGCTATACATTCTCATCCATTGAGTGCGGTCATGATGCATAAAAAATAATAATAATAGAGTCATTGATTTTATCGTAAATCAACTATACATCTACACACAATACCAACTATTTGCTTTTATTTTTTTATATTTTTAAATTATTTTTTTCAAAGAAAATATTTGAAATAATATTTTAGAATAACTACTTAATAATTCAAATACAATTTTGTATACTAATATTATTTATTATTTTGTAAATAAATATATATAAATCAAATGTACATTTTTTTTTTAAAAAAAATCTTCTCATCAGGAAAAAAAGCTTCATTTGTTAATTTTCATACAAGTTTTTATATTAATTGTTGCTTAATTTCTTCGATACAATGTTACAAAAAAAATATTAAGACTTTTTTTAAAAAAATTATATCAAAATTTGTTTATTATGGGTTTTTATTTAGGAATAAATGCATAAGAAAGAACAAATCATATTTTTTTTTACTTCAAAATTTATTCAAAACACACACACACACACACATATACAAATTTTGATTAAAAATTATAAACTTAGACGAAATTTTATCTTTTATATTTAATTTAATATATTTTAGTTAATCGACAACATAGTATATGTTATCAAACTAAAATAAATATGTTTTATTGAGTCCACGAGTGTAGTGTAGGATTTCAAACTCGTTCATATGCCTAAAATTTCTATTGACTTACCGTTTATGTACATAAATTACCATTCACTTAATGACAATTTAAGTAATTTTTGTGTGTGAATTTTTTATGTGTTTTTGAGCATTAATATACAAATTTAACGTTTTTTTTTCTATTTTTGTCCCGCATGTTGTAACATTGTTTTTCAATCCTTAGCTTTTTTTTTTTCCATGTAGTGTGTGTGTGTGTATTATCTTTTTTGTTTTAAAATTGACATATACTTTAGCTTATGTTAATTTTATTATTTAAATTTCATTCTTTGAATTTATTATTTTTTATAAAAATTCTTATCCAATTAATATTTTTATATATAATTTTATTTACTAAAAAATATAATTTATTTTACTTTGTGTTTGAATTTTAGAATAAAATTTTAAAATATGATTGTTTTTTATTTTTTAAAAAATAAATTGGTATAATATATATCATGAATTCTTAGAATTTTAAATGATATATATATATATATATATATATATTTGGAAGGCTGCTTTTCACTCCGATCCTAACTACGGCCTTATGATGGCCTTTTGCTTTGCCTTAGCAGCTGCTATTCTTCTTTTCATCAAGTGGCCTAATGGCTCCTTTCCCTAATCTTATCTTATATATATATATATATATATTTGGAAATTTGTTTTTCATTGCGATCCTAACTACGACTTATGATGGTCTTTTGCTTTGCTTTGGCAGCTGCTATTCTTCCTTTCATCGAGTGGCCAAACGACTCCTTTCCCTAATCTCATCTTCTATATATATATATATATATATATATATATATATATTATTCTAAAAGGTCAAAAGTGTATTTCAAATAATTTATATCAGTTCATTAAGTATGGTCAAGACGTATAAAAAAAACTATTGAATCATTGTTTTTATTAAAAATTTGCAATACATCTTCGACATAATATAAATTATTTACTATGAATATTTTTTTTAACATTATATAACCAATTTATTTGAAATAAAATAATTAAAATAATTTTTTAAGGAAACTAACTAATTATTCAAATACTGTTTTTTTATTCTAATTTTATTGATTATTTTATAAATAAATATATATAGATCAAATGCATATACTTTTTTTAAAAAAAATCTTTTCATCAACATTAAATAATAATAAAATTTTATTTTTTCATTAGTTAATTTTTATGCAAGGCTATACATTGTAACTTTATTTTTTGGATATATTCTTATAAAAAAATATTTTTAAAGTATTTTTTTTGAATTCTTAATTAATATTTCAGGTTTAAATTATTACAAGTTTTTATTTAAGAATCCTTAAATAAAGAGAATAAATCATGTTTTTTTAAGCAGAAATTTTATGAAAAATACACAAAAAAGTAATAATTAAATAAAAAATTAATGAAAAAGTTATAAAATTTTGAAATGATTTTGTTCTATCTACGCACGACTTTGTGTAGATAATTTCAAAAATTAATCTTCTCATCAACATCAAATAATTTTTTTTTTCCATTTGTTAGTGTTTATAAAAGTTTATCCATTAATTATAACTTTATTTTTTAGAATATAATATTATGAAAAATATATTTTTTAATATTTTTTTTAATTCTTAGTTAATATTTTAGTTAAAATCAATACATAAAGAAGAATGATTTATTTTTTTGAGCAAAAAATTTATTTAAAAAATTAATCAAATAAAAAATTTGAAAATTTGAAAATAATTTTATTTTACCAAATTGGCAGTGTGATGCACACAACCCACTAATTCATACTATTGTACCAAACACATCAATGAGGCTAATTTTTTTCAAAGTTACGACTATTAACAACCACAGAAATAAAGTCAATACATGATCTCCTAAAAAACGTTTACAATGCTTTTTGGACAACATCTTCGAGAAGTATAATTAGTTGGCTCATGGAAATTATTTCTTCCATGCAATTTCTTTCAAACCTTGATTTCAGGACCATGATGCTTTCATCCTCTGCACTTAGTACACGCACAAGTTTTAAGAGAAGATAACAAGACAACCAACGGGGCTCCCAAGCCATGGAAAATGAAATTTTATCTTATTACTCAAAAACATCAACTTTGATTTTTTTTTTTTTAAACAGTTAGCTATCTTACTTAATTAGATTTCGCATGCCAAATTTAAATCATTCTCATATCTGAGAATTCATGATTGAATATATATTAATGAAAATTTATTTATTTATTTTTTAGAGGCTCATGATGTTTTTAGACTAAATAACATGAAGGTCTTATATCATTAAATAATTATCAAAAAAAAAAAATTGCAGTTATTTGAATTCGAATCTAATTGCATATGGAATCATTAGACTAAGAAGTTATGAACTAAAAATTAAAAAGTAGTGGCTTCTCCCATGACCAGCCCCTAAAAGTCAAGAAAGATGTTTACTCCTTGTAAATTTTCTAGAGAAAACTTTTGAACAAGACGTGTGGAGAAAAAAAGGAAGATTAGACCATTCGCGTCCTGTCCCATATTAGACGGCAAGACTTTCTGCCTCTCTGTAAATAGTGTCTTGAAAATAAGAGTTTTGTCCTTCCATAAAAATGTTGCCCTCATGGGCTCATATCTCTTCATTTTCTCATAGCTGAACGTCACTTGATCTTCTCTTAGCACTTCACCACAAGACAATGCTTTCTTCTCTGAATCCTGAGTACAAAATGCACGGCAATGGCAAGGACGATGTAGATTTTGATTTCTGGGGTGCAAGTGAAACCCAATATTGCAGTGATAGAGGAGGTAGTGAAGTAGGGTTTCAAGCACAGTTTGAAGAAGGCTTTGTTGATTACTCACTACCCTTATGGGAAACAGATATGTCAAGAAATGTTAGAAATGAATCCTCCCCTCTACTCCCCCATAGCCAACGTTACAGTAGTACTTCGCTCAGGTCACGGTTACAAGTGATGGCAGAAGGTAGGAGGAAGCTCATGGAGATGGTTCATAGCATGCCAGAGTCTAGTTATGAACTATCTTTGAAGGATATTGTTGTGGAGCAGCAGATTTCTGAAGAGGCACAAGAGGAGATGGCGATGCAAAGGACAAGTTCTGATTCCAAAACTAAGGCTCAAATCACCAAGAAACAAAAGACGAAGAAGACGAAGAGTTTTAATAAGCCGGGTAATATTTCAAGAAGTGGAAGTATGGAAAAGGAAACTTTCTTGATCAAGATGTTCATTCCAACTTCTCTCAGTTTTAAGATCAGATCAGACAACTCAAGAAATGACCCAAAGGTTCCTCCAAGGTCATCGACGGAACCAACTGATAACCGTGCAGACAAGGAGGGGTGGATCAAAAGGATTTTGTGTACAGGAGAGGGTAAGAAAAGCAGACGCACTAGCAGCAGCAGAAGTACTAGCAGCAGCAACAGCAGCACAAGCAGGTATTTATTGGGTTCTCTTAAATTTAGCATGTTAATGATCTGCAACTGGAAATTTACCCTATTTCCATGCATTGAGAATTCTCTCATCTTGTTTTCTTTCTTGATTACTGAAATTCGTATAGATTGTTAGATTAGAGTACTGACGGATTTTACTTTTCTTACTGAGATTATGCAGGTGTGACGATATGGAAGCCTTGCCAAGTTGCTGGCCTTTCTTCTGCACTGAGAAAAGCAAAGGGACAAGACGCAAAGTACGCTTCTTCTGAACAGGGGATGGAATGCGATGGTTAATCGCAACGGAATTAGCTGTAGAATAAGAAATGACACGTACAAGCAAGAGAAATTATTCTGAGGTATTAGAACAGAATTCTGACAGAGTCGAGGGCTTTACCGCTAGGAAGATAGAAATCAAAGGACGTTTTTTGCTCTTATGCAAGAACATCACAAGCAGACATCAATTTATCTCTTACAACTTACTTTGTAGTCTTGCGGATATGTGCCACTCTTTCCTGTAAAATCACTCTTCGTAGATTATACTCAGGAAGGTTGGCCTTCTATATGGTCATATATTGGTCATTGCTACCTTCTTGTTCTTTAGATGCTTTTTGATATTTCACCTGATTTCAACAGTTTTGTCTCCGACCCAAAAGTACGAAGAGTAGCAACATGGAAACTGAAACGGTCCATATTGATGATGTGTAAGGTCACATCAACCCAAAACACCATTTGTATGAACAAGAGGTTAAAAGAATATACATACACGTCGATAAAATACCAAAAACCAAGTTACAAATCTGACGGAGACATCACAATTCCTAATGAGAGTTACAGATCTGATGTACATCTGTTGTCTAATCAGTAACCCTAAGATATTACTCGTCCTTGAACTGACTCCTTTGCTTGGTATATTACATGTCAATCATAATTTATAATCTGAAATCTCTGATTGCATGACCTATTGAAAGAAACTGTCAGATTGGCTTCTAGTTATCTTTGTCATCTTCTTTATCCTGGAGTAAGGCACCCCTTACTTTTGCCCTGCTCAAACACTGTAAGTTAGATATTGAAAACACAGGTCCACATGGTGAATTAAACAGGCGATGCTAAGTACCTGCGAAATGCTGGTACGACACGATTGGTAACTTTTTTTGAGAAAGTATCTCGGCCTGCTAGTTTGTCTGTTGTAAAGCAGGGGAAGGCAGTCTTAGTTTCGAAACTTCCAAAAGTGCAAGTTAAACACACTTCCATTAAAATACCCAAATAAAAGAGATTGATAGAATAGAAAGAGAAAAATTGTTTTAATCAGCCTCAATAGTTTAACAGGTAAAGATTCTAAAAAGTCCAAGGAGATAATAATATAATCTGCACAAAAGAATTATTGTCAACTTCATAAGAAAAATGTATATTCTGTTTATTGTCACAATACAATTATAATGTGATATCTACCAGGAGCATATTGACCACATTACAGTGGTGATTTTTCCTATCAATCCTTTTACGGTTATCGAATTTCATCAGGTTTCAGTTGCAAGCAGGCCTTATTAAACACAAAAGACTAAAAGAGTCTAACCACCCTGAACTTTAAGTCATTTGAGGTTGAGTTCCAAAACTTTTTTATTAGTTTTGGGGATCCCTAAACTTTTAATTTTTTGAGATTTAGTCCATCCAATGATTTTCAACTATCATCTTCTTCTCTAAAAAATTTAATTCTTGATATTTTGAGCTAAAATTTTGCACGCACATTGAAAACAATTCAATTCATTTTGTAAAAAAATTCCAGAATTTTTCAAAATAAAAAAAACTATATTTGTTTATTTTTTGAACTTTAAAAATATATATATAAAAAAAGAAAATAACCTCAAAATGATCCTAAACTTTTTGAAGGGCCCCACATAAATATCACTGAATGATTTTTATCGTAAACTATTTATGAGATTGCTATTTTTTTTTAAGATAAATGACAGAAAACTAAAGGATGGGCTAAATCTTAAAAAAAAAAAAAAAAAGTTTAAGGACCTCCAAAACCAATATAAAAGTTTAAAAACTCAACCTCAAATGACTTAAAGTTTAAGGATGGTTAAACCCTTTTAGCCAGCACATAATCAAAATCAAATTGACATGGCATCCAACATCTATTTTCTGGTCAAGAAATGTTTTATTCATAGAAGATGCGATATTATCATGTTCAGTAAAATAATATAGATGTACTTAGTATACAGATAACCTGAAAATTTCCAAGGATGTGCACACATCCTAGAAGATATTGTTAGTAAGAAAAAATAAAAAAGATGCGAACCTGGGGAGTTTTGCGCACCATTATTGGCTAGAGGACCAGAAACATCTTGTTTGTCTGAAGAATTCATTTTTTCCAACTTCTGTCTCTTTCCTAGTTGGCTCTGGATATTTTCACTCCTCTCCTGACAAAAGAAAAGATAAATTGAGCTCAAAGCAAATGGGGAGGTAACCATTGTAGCCAACATTATTGCACCACAATTCATTAAGCCATCATAAGCATAATTGCTTCATATCATTTACGCACTCCCTTTCGAGAAAATTCTTCAATTCAACATGATGCAGCATCCTATTAATAAGAATTTAAATAGAAAGCATGATCATAACTAATAAGCATCAGTTTTATCCATTACTACAAAAACTGCACTTCCACAGCATGGTTGAGCAGCACCAACAAACTTGTGATTGCAAATTACAATTGCACTATTTACTTTTGATAGGAAGAGATTGGGTAGTGGTTGAAGCAAAATTAAAAGAATAGCGTTAAAACTTATCAAATTTTGTAAGTTACTGCTTTTCCTCAGGCTGGATGATGGATAGTTATAGGAGAAAGGGAGATCGCAAGATGTAAAGAAGGGCTTCAAGAATGTTTATTGTAGCATACTTGGAAGCATATTGAAATGGAGTGCTACGAAAGATATATAATTTTATACCAATATGGTTTTTGCAATGAAGCAAAATCTAACCAAAAACAATGCTAAGGATAAAAAGTAACATTGAAGAAGAACAATTTTGTAACAACACCAAATTTACAATTTACATGCAGAGAATTCCACATTGAGTCTATAGGATCTCAATGACTCACTAGTAGCTGCACCACGAGCCTAAATTTTTACATAAACAAAAGATATCCACAAGCATCTAATTTTAATGTTCCTGAATATTACAAAATGACAACTACAAGTAGCATGTAGTTGACACAATTTAAGCAGAAAGGTATGAAGATGCTAGACCATCTCCCCTAGTGCAGCAAGCATGACACAAAATGGAGGTTGCAACCCACTACAAATGGGAATATATTTTCACACAAATGAAGTTGAAAAGATTTTAACAGTAAAACCATAATATTGTATATCCATAATCTGCAACTTACCTCTTTGGCTGATGTAACTTTCGTCAACTGCAAAGAGTGATTTTGCTCTGCACGCACAATGAAAAAGAAACTAACAATTATTTGCAGTACATGCATTTCTCTTTCTGTCCAATGTGTTACTTGTAAAGAGAATATAATAGAAATTTAGATTAAAAAAAAAAAGAAAAAGAAAAAGGTAACACAGGTAGACACTTGCAAGGCTTAATTCAGAAAAAAGGACAAGGTACTGAAGACATACAAGCATATTATATGGACACGTTAGTGGACATATGAAAGATCAGACAGGATAAATCTTTTCATTTGTCAGAACCCATCCCTTTGCTTTGTATGCAATCATGCAATACATTCAAAAGAAAGCCCAATTTGTAGTAGATAATGTTTGGGTATTGCACAATTCTAACACATGTTCAAACAGCATAGCATATCAACATGTCAAGTTTCCTTGGATAGGAAAATTTTGCAAATGATTATTTCTTGAAAAGCAATTCAAACTATCATCGCACAAATATTGTCTTCCTTCAAAACTTTATCTGTCCTTTAGTCTAAATTTCAACACAAACAGCTGTAAAAAGGACCAATACCATTATAAGCAGTTGCAGAATACAGCAAAACCAAGTCAATTCTTCATTTGGAAATCAGCTGCTAGCCAATGCTTACTATGTATCTCAACAAAAATGCTTCTCTTGGATTTCAAACACCAAAAGAGTACAGCTAGCAAGATTATATTAGAACTTTTTTCAAACACAGATTAACTTGAGTATACCAACAAAAACAATCAAAAGCTTCAAATGAAAGAAGAGAAAACCTCATATTAGATAACTGATAAGACAAAGCTATACTTCAATACATGAAGAAGAGAAGGCAACCTTGTACTACCAAATTCTTCATGCATTTGAACACCTTGAATAGCCCAAAAGACATATCTGCCATAGCATCCCTGGCAGCGTTGTCCTCAAGTTTTGTAAGGGAGATGGAAATTAGTGGCATTCCTTTCGATTTCTGAGCCACTAATTTTGCATATGCTGCACCTGAAACAAATAAACCATGAACTGGCACAATTTAATCCATATAGGTTTATCCATAAAAGGTTTCAACACAAAATTTGGATATATAAAAGAATTTTGAGTCATCATCCCTCAGTAATTCAATTTCACAGATAACACAAATCTCAGACTTAAAAAAATAAATAATAATAATAAAATAATAATAATCATGATTATTATTATCAACAAAGGGGATATGAGTCAAATTCATATTTGCTTTAGTTAGAATCTAATCAGGACAGACTAGAATTACCTTCAGGCATCCAATGAGATTAAGCAAACCATAACAAGAAAAAAACTTTACACGTAAGAAATGCTGAACATAAAATTCACTTCACTTCACCCTATATCTTCATTCATTGTTCGGAAATTAGAATCAAAATGCATCAAAGTTCAAAAACATCAATCACCATCCGAATCCGAAAGTTTCTCAAGAACAAGCTTTACATCTTCAGCTTTGAAAGAAGCAACAATGTACTCAACAAACTCAGTCCAAGACCCTCCAATTCCAATGCAATCCCTCTGCATTACCCCATTAAAACAGCAAAAAAAATTACAAAGTTTAACAACCAAATTGCATAAACTCAAAAACCTATGATTATAATCCAGAGCTAACCATGTCATCAAGCTGCATAACTGATTTAACAGCCTCAAAAGTATTGAAATGGTAATCAGTTACTTGAATTTTCAGGTGATTGTTGTCAGGAGCAAATATATGCATCAAGAATTGACCCATCAAACCCAGACCCGGGTTTGAATTATTTGCCCATTCAATTCTAGGTTCATTAAAAATGGGTTCAAATTCTTCAAACCCCTCCATCCTGTACTTCTGTGATAACAGAAAAGAGAGCTCAAAGTTAGAATTTTTTTTTTTTTTTTTTTTTTTTTTAATTTAAGAGGGAATGAAGTAGCAATGTACCTGAGATGAATTCGAGCGAGAAAGAAAGAGACTTTGATTTCTGGGAATACTTAATTTTCTTGGTAACCAAACAAGCTTCTGCTATAGTTGAATTTCGAGTTGTGCCGAAGAAGCTCACTGCTTGAAATTGAAATTTAGATAATTTTAATATCCGGTTTTGAAATTCCACTTGATGAGGCCCAATTCAATTTTATCGATCAGCTGTGGCCCAAATAGACCTTCTGTCGCTCTGGATGTATATGATTTGTAAGTAGACAGTGCTTGGTAGTTCTTATTATACCACAAAAGTTTTAAATGTCGAATAACAAATACAGATAATTAAATTCACAGTCCCAAAAAATTGGCGGGATTGTGTCTTAGGAGATGAATCTATGGTTTTCTATCAGATCGTTGCAGCTGATACCAATTAATTTTTTGCATTCATTGTTGTGCAGTAATGTTCTTGCTTCAGCTGTGCCGATTGTAATGTTGCATATAATATGATAGTTGTAATTGTAAAAAAAAAAAAAAATTACATATTAGTATTTAAGTGTGCAGAGATAATAAAAAACATTTTTTTTATGAAAGAGAATATATATATATATATATATATATTTTATAATAAACTGGTCATATTATTAGTATATTACTTTGGAATAAGTGGTTGATAGAATGGTCTGTGTGCTGGACAACAATAGCGCTGGAAGATGGATAGACTTCGCGTATGCAATGAAGAAATATTGGAATCGACCAAGGGTCTGTCTGGTCATATCGCATTATTGATGAGCTAGTTGTAAAGATAAGTTCCTGTTTCGAGATAGAACAAGACGCTTAGTGAAATAGCATGTTTTGAATGAAAAATAAATGGTTGTATGAATTTGTAGGGAAAATTGTATAAATTTTGTTATAAAAGCTTGGTTATATATATGTGTTTGTTTGTTAAGCGTTGTGAAAATTTTAACAAATGATTTTATAATGCAAGTAATAATAAGTAGCTGATTATTTTGTATGTTGGTGTTTGAATATCACTATGATTTAACAAATAATGCATGGATTATTTTGTACTAGAAAATGTAGATGTAAAAAAACCTATTAAATAGGAAGAAAGAATAGGTTTAAAGAGAAAACTGGTAATTAGTATTGTCATAATCATTTTGACCCTCATAAATTTTTACTTTATACAAAATTCTAAAAATTAAAAAAAAAATTACATATTGCATAGTTTTTCTTATTTTTCCATGATCTTTTCGTATTTTTATAAATTTTTAGTACCTTAATTTCTTAGGGTTATCCCCTAATTTTAATTAAATAAACAAAAAAAGAAAAACGAGAGAAGAAAAGAAAAAGAAAAAGAGAATAAATTGAAAAGACGATTGGAGGTCTAATTGAAAAAGATGTGAGAAGTAAGGACCAAATAACATGTAATTAGGAGTATAATTGGAAGAAGATAAAAATCAAGAGCATTAATTAAGAATGAATTGGGATAGAATTAAAAGAAATCAAGAGAATGTGGATTAAATAATTTCAATTAAGGGCACGATTAGAAAAAAATAAAGAAATGTACACTAAAATTAAAAAAAAAGCGGATAAATGAAATAAGTCGTTCATCAATATGCCAATCGTTCTAGGACTTTAATTGGATTTGATACTAAATTGTTGTGACTCTCAATCAATTATTCGATACTAAATATTTTTTTGTAAAACATAATTTTTAGAAGATATTTTTAAGATTAAACTAAATTTGGTATCTTTCCTTTGAAAGGGTGGTCTGTAATATTAGTAATTATTCCTATGCATTTATGTGTGTTTATATATATTTTTTAAGAATATGTATGCTATGTTATGTGTTATATTGATGATTGTTTGGATTGAAAATTTATATTGTTAAGTGTTGTGTGTATAGGTGATTAAGGAACCTAAATATGGTAATGAAAAGATTTAAGACCTAATAGAATTAATTGATAAAGTGAGGAACCTAGAAAATATAGTTTAATTACATATTTCATAAATGTGTAACCTAGGATTTATAACTTAATTAGTATCCTAAACTTGTGTTATTTTAGAAAATAATCTCCCGATAGGATGTCCACACAATATGTCCACCTAATTAAAAATATCTAAGTGTTATTTACTTAATTTAGGACATGTGGTCCGTTAGTATTTTTGCACCCTTAAAATTTCGGTTAAGAGAGAACAAAAGAGGGGGATAGAGTTGTTTGGTTTTCATTTGTTGCTTTCATCCATTTGAGAGGTTTAAAACTTGAGCGAAACCTAGATCAATAAGAGAGAATTGAAATTTGCTAAAAGGAGAGAGAAGAGTTTGGCCGAGAGAAGGTTGGTCGAAAAGAAGGCAAATTTAGACAGATTTGATCAAGAGCTAGAACAAGGAAAAAGGAGGAATCTTGAGAATTTTCATGGTGAATTCTACTTCTATTAAACTTAAGGTAACTATAACTTCAACTCTACCAAAAAAAAATTTGGGTTTCTATGTGTTTAATTGATGAATTGCGATGATTTGTGAAGATGTGTTTGTTATGTTGTGATTTTGTGTTCAATTGGTAAATGATAAATGTTCAATGGTTAATTATACATTCCGATGATGATGGGTATGTATTAAATTGATGATGGGTAAGTGATTAATTATCAATTGAACAATTGAGGTGATGACTTTGCTTGATGATAAATCACCTAAAGGTTTTAGGGTTTGAATTATATAATAAATATATGTTTGACCATTTATGAAGTTGTGATCGTGTAACTAATTCATGATTGTATAATTGGGTATGAGTTTAATTAATGGTTGATCGCTTGATGATTTATCACTTATGTTTATGGAAATTTGCTTGATGTTAAGATTATGGATATGCTTGATGTTGAGATTATATACATAATTATCATTGAGGTTATGGATTCATTTGATGATGGAATGATTATGTTGTTGCTTGATGAATTTAGCTAGGGCTCACTTGAGAACCCACCGATTTGTTTATGAATGGAATGATTGTTATGTTCGTGGAGATTGAATGAGGGTAAGGTATGTCTTGATGAATTTGGTTGGGTGTATGCTTTATGGGTTTGACTTGGCTTCCGATTGAGTGATTGTGTTATTGCATGATGAATTCGACTTAAAGGTTAATTCGGTGATTGTGTTATTACTTAATGGATTTAGCTAAGATCCATTTAGGATCCTATGATTTTTGCTCAATTGGTTGAATGGTTGTGTGATATTAGATGATATGTTGCTTGATAAATTTGGATAAGGATTTCTTTAGGTGTTTATTGGTTAAATTGAACACTTGAGATGTTAATTGGTGCATTCAATTATATGATTGCTTGGTGTCATTTGATTATTTTAATTAGGTGTTTATTAAATGATAGAATAATTAAGGTTAATGGATGAATTTAGGTTAGGCAACTATATGATGTTACTTGATCATGTGTTTGGATGTATATGGCACGATTTGAATGATTGAGGTGACATTGATGTCGTTTGGCCTAGGTAGGTGTTTAATGGAAAGTTGTATACTTGTGGTGCCATGTGAGGGATTCGGACTTGATGCCCTTCGATTATGTTCATGAATGGCTTGATGTCATTTGGGTTGTGTTCATGGTTATTTTAAGGCTTGAAATTTTGTCATGTCATATGGATTGTTCATGAATGGCTTAATGCATATGGTTTACGTTCATGTAAATTCTTAGCATTGCATTCTAATTATATTCACTCTATGAAATATTTTTATGTTATAATTTCAAACATTTAAGAAAGGACATGTTCATGTTTTTAATAAGGATATTGATCATGACTAGACGTGTTTAAGAAGGACAAAGGGGAATGATCGACCTTTTATGAGGTTCGTTGAATCAAATATGTCTAGTGCTTTTATGGATTTTATGATGACGGTTTTAAAAAAGGGTTGAATTTATATACATTCAACAAGGTGTGCTCGAAAGACAAAAAATGTTTTTCACGCATGAAAAAAATGATTGTACTTACATTCATGCATGGTTGCATTTGTTCGGCTTTAACTCATTTTGTCCGTCTTATGGTGTAGGTGAACAAAACGATGTTTGAAGATATGGTTGATGTGTTGAGGATGTTGGTCGAGAGGTATAAAGTTTTCTAAATTATGTACTACATGTCTAGGTTTAAAATTTGAAGGTTAAAATATGTCTAGATTTTGGCCACTTTTGGTGTTGCCTAGATTTGATCATTTTGGATTGTAAATGATGAATTTTTGGATTAATGTGGTATGTTAGCTTATATATTTGTGAGATTAAAGAATTATGAAAGGTTTATGTTTCATATGGAAATGTTGAGAAGTTTATATATATATATATATATATATATATATGTTTGTGAAATAGGCTTGATGAAACTTATTGATTTTAATATGTTTAATTCGAGGATGAATATGAAATGTTTAGGTTGTGCAAAAATTGTTAGCCTTAAATGCTAAATTTAGGAAACTTTGAACTTTAAACTGAATGAGGATTTCGTTGTACATTGTGATAAAGATTGATGTTAGAGGAAAAATTGCATTACCTTACACTCTCAAGTGTAAGACAATGTAGTAGCACTCTTGGCCTCCCGATTGGTCTACGGGCATTAGAGGTTTGGTATTAGAGCAATTTGACTTAGTAGGCCTAATAGCACATGCAAACCCAAGCTCTAACAATATCATCAACATGTAAGTGTTTAAATTTGTCAAGTATGAACTTTTAATTATTGATTGACAAGTATGTTTGATGGTTGTATGCTTTGTTTACTTGATGAATTCTATGAACATGATTGATGTTTGTTGGATTATATGGATATGTGTGAGTGAATTGTGGCATCCATATGAATGCATAGGAATAAGAACAAGACAACAATGAGGAATCATTATGGTGCGGGAACATGTTTAAGAGTCTGCCAGTTGAGA